GTTTTTTTTTTTCTTGTTGCAGTTACTTCGGTATAGTACAGTTGGTTCGCGTTCCTTTTGGGAACGTGGGACGGAGCAGCGGCAGGCCAATGGCAACGGCTGTTGGTCCATTTTTCCACTTGGTATTGTGCGTTTTTGTGCGCTTGCGTGGGTGTGCATGGTGTGTGTGCTCTGTGTGTGAGTGCACTTACCCTCCATAGGAAGAACGCAATGATGCCAATACCAACCACCGCGGGAATGATCGCGGGGGTGTAGGGCTTGACATCTTCCCATGTGAGGCCGGGCGCAACGGAAGGGGTGCCAACGTCGGTGCCGCTACCACCTGCTCCACCAACTGCAGCACCTGCACCACGGCCAGTACCACCACCACTAACACCACCACGGCCATCAAGACCACCGAGGCCATGAGCACCATCATCAGATACACCGACTGCAACACCTGCCGCCGCCGCCAGCATCCTTTTCATCACCCTCACCTCCTTTTCCTTCCCCACCAGACACTCCATCCGCCAAATCAGCATGACTGAAACTGCCACTACTACCCGATTGATCTGGGTTCGTGGTTTCTGGTTTTGGTTTGGGTGGATTGAGAGGAGGGGGGTCATCGTTGCCTTCAACGACCACGGCATCCTTCTGGTCAGGCGTTCTACCGTCCCCTCCTGTTCCTGTTGATTTTGTTTCTGGTCCTGTTGTTGTGTTTGTTGTGGTTGTTGTTGGTCCTGCTGGTGATGCTACTGGCTCCTTCCCCGATGTTGTTTCCTTGGATTCTGTGCTCTGTGTTTTTTCCGAGGAATCACTACCTGTGCGATCAAAGGAAGGGAAGGAGCATATGATGAAAATTAAGTTATGATTCGGATGGTTGGCCACACGCTTCGTTGACCACACGGTTGGTGCCATGCTCGGTCGGCATGCGTCGGGGACGGTGCCACCCCGGCAAAGGACTCTCTCTCTCTCCCACAACCCACAACACACAACACAGCACACAGACAGTGTCCGTGTGTGTCTGTCGACGTCTCTCTACCGGTCGCTACTGCCGCTTCGGCGCCTCGTCCCTCATGCGCTCATTCTCATTCGACGTTTGGTTTGTCTCAGCGTGGTTTCGCTCTCTGCGTTGTCTCTCCCGCTCTCTGCGGAAGCTGTTGTTTTTCTTTTTTTTTTTCATTCCAATTTTCCTGTGGGCAGTATGCGTGTGTTTAAGTATACCCTCTTACAGTTCTGTGCATACTAGAGTAGTCGAGGGTATGAATGCACACTATGCTGTACTTTTATGCACTCTTTTAGATTCACCTTTTTGGTCTGGCCCGCCCGAAGGTAAGTTCCCCTTCTCTTCATATTGCTTAATAATTTCATCAGAGGGCTTTCCACTGTCATAGGAATCTATCACGGTTACACTCATCTTCCCGGAACTACCCGGAAGTTTAACATTAACGGGATCATCATCGGCCTCCTTACCTGGATTTTGTTCTGCTTTTCCCTTTCCGGCTTCCTTCCCGCCTTGGGGGTCCTGAGAAGTCTTCTCCTCGGGTGCTGGTGCCGCAGGTGGGGGTGGTGGTACGGGTCCTGCTGCTGGTTGTGCTGCTCCCGTGGCCCCACCTGATGTGGTTTGCGCTGGCGGCGGCGCTGGCGCCGGTGCTGGCGGTGGTGGTTCCGCAACTTCCTCCGATCTTGCTACTGATACTGCTGGCCCAGGTGTGGAGGGTGTTGCAGTCTTACCTGCTTCTGGTGTTGTGTCCTTTGGTGCTTCTGCTGCCGTTTGTCCTAAGAATGATGGTAATATAGGAGCATATGGGTGTGTAACACGTGCCGGATGAATGGAGAGATGCAGGGGGCGCACTCGGTGAACTGGGGCTAGATGGTAGCAGTGCACTTTTATTTGTTGTGGCCGTCCCGCTCCGTCATCTCGTCCGCTGTACGGTGCGCTCGCCGCTAATCCACGTGACGCTACCGCCACCGCTGACGTCGTGGCCGCGCCGCTCAACCGCAGTCGGTCAGCGTCAACGGAGTCGTTTGCTCTGCTGTGCTGTTCCGCCGCGTGTGCGTTGTTGTGACTGTCGCGCCCCTTGTCCGTTGTTGTGGTGGCCGCCGCTACTATTGGTACCGGGTGTATGGGTATTCGTATGCGTATTGTTGCTATTCGTGTACTTACCGTCCTCAATTTCCGTGTTCTGCTCATCCGCGTTGTCCGTGTCACGTAGGATGTCCTGTTCATCGGATTCCTGCTCATCCGGATCGTGTGCTCCTTTCACGGATATTTCCCTTTCAACCTTCTGTAGAACGCGTTTCAACGCTCTCTGCAATGTCTGCTGTGCACTTAATACCCAGGGCTCCGTCGTAGCCTTCTGCTCCGTTGCAGCTACTGCACCTTGCTGCATTGGGCCCTGCTGTATTTTCTTCTTACACTCCTGTTGCAGTTGTGTCCGTTGTATCATTTGTTGCAGGTTCACATTCTTGCGTAACCATTCTTTCACGGCCTGCTGCATACTCCACTTCCCACGTCTTATATCCTGCATGCGTTCCCGCGCGCATTCGGTCGCACTGGCTGACATCGGTATTCCTCCATCCCCCATCATTTTACGCACCGAGTACCCTGCATAATAAATACCCCAGTGCCCGCCGCATGCTGACTCTGTTAATATGGTCCCGAACATGTTTACTATGGCACACCGCATGTATTGCCTTAGCTTCTTATTATTCTGTGTCTCTTGCTCATCCTTCCTCCAACTTTCACTCCAGTTTGTCATGAATAGTATTGCAGTTACCATAAATTTGCACGCAATCCGGTCACCTACGGTGTGACCCACGTGCGGCGTGCCAGACTTGTCGGCCCAGTGTTGCCAACCAGTATTATTACAGTTTTCACCCATACTCTCTATGTCCATGTTTTCCATATGTTGAATAAACTCTCCGAGCATGTCCCCTATGTCCTTTTCTAAACTTTCCTAAAATTTATAATATGCACACGTACTCTGTAGCTACGTTCATGCGTATTCATGCGCTCATCGCATGTACACATTCACATAGCACAACTCATCCGACGCCCGTTACTCTGTCCTAAATTTGCGCATTCAATTTTACCAGTATATATGCAGCAACATGCTCCTACGCTCATTTACACGTGATACCAACATATATGATCCCGTACGTGTAGGCTTCCTCCCCTGTCTGTCACAACTCATTATTACCTGATAACGCTCAGCATCTCCCTGTATGCCCCTATCAATCACATACTGTGCCAATATCTCCCCTAACTGTCCCGCCATTGTCATCTATGATTATAACTTGGAAATGTGAATTACGCTTGAATCACTATAGCGTGGTACATAGCTTGCACAACAGCAGCGCTCAGAACTTGTTGTTTACGCTATAAATTACTCCGTATCCCGTACGCATTAACATCCTGCTCAAAATAACTGTACCATCCACTTTAAAAGAAGGGGTATGTATCCGTTTATATAACCTATGCACACATATACAATCCTTATAGTTACACTAGGAATTGGGAGCATCGCAAGCGCAAATAATGAATAAGAGGTAAAGGAAGAAGATAAATAACAAATAAATAAAACAAATAAAAAAAAGAAAAAAAAAGAAAAGACATAAAAAAAAATGAGAGCAAACTAACAACATATGCCTACAAATTCATAACAACATATTCTGCACAATATAGAGAAGACGCTCTCTCTCTCGTCCACACATGAACAATATGCGTGCCATTAAAAAAAAACAAACAAAGGAATAAAAAGGAGAAAATAAAAGAACAAAAAAGGAAGAAAAGCAAAAAAAATAACAACTGCTTCCACACAACGCGTCATGAAAAGCACCCCCCTGCTTTCTACACCGGTCTCCACTAAACGCCTTCACACACACTGTCTCTGTGTGTGCGTACACTAAACCCCTTGTACACTAAAAGCGCAGTATAACAACAACATCAACTTGTGCTCCCGTCGTTGCCGTCGTTGCCGTCGTTGTCGCCCTGGTTCGCCTGCCCACATCATATGTGTGTTCCGTCTCCGTCCCCCCCGCTGCTCGTTGCTCCCTCTCTGGATCCGTACTGGGCTACTTCGTCGAACCGCTTGTGCTCGGAGAGACAATCTCTCCCTCCTTTCTTACACTCGGCTACTTCGTCGAAACCTTCTTACACTCGGCCGTTTCAATCGGACACAATTGTGCGCGCTGGACCACGAGTCACGGACCGGTGGTCAACCGTGTGGCCAACCAAATATCTGAAAGTGCAGATTCTTTCATATTCTTTTCCTCCTGTTCTAACTTACAGATCAAGATGTTACTCAGGTTACACAAAGTACGCACCAGGACGGATCAGGGGTGCAACCGGGGCAGGACCAAGTGCCAGCTTCATCTGCAGTACACCCAGAGGCAAAACCAGCCGAATCAGAGACAACAACAACATCTCCTGAAGCAACGACACCATCAACAGGAACAGGAGGGCAGGGTACAACGAGTGACAAGAAGGATGACGACTCCGGCGCAGCCGTCGTCGATGGCGGCAACGATGACCCCCCTCCTCTCAATCCACCCAAACCAAAACCGAACCCAAACCCAAATCAATCCGGTAGTAGTGGCAGTTTCAGTGACGCTGATTTGGCGGATGGGGTTTCTGGTGGGGACGGACACAAGGATGGTGCTGCTGGGGGTGCAGCAGGAGGTGGTGGCGCAGGAGGTACTGGAGGTGGTAGTGGTGGTGTTAGTGGTGGTGTTAGTGGTGGTGGAGGGGCTGCTCCTACCCCTACCACCCCATCCGTTCCGCCCGGCCTCACATGGGCAGATGTCAAGTGGTACACCCCAACCATCATTCCCGCGGTGGTTGGTATTGGGGTCATTGCGTTCTTCCTATGGAAAGTAAGCGCACACAAGCTCACGCACAACACACACGCACAACGCACATACGACACCGCACACCGTATATGCGTACAACGCACAAATATAGCACAGTGGAAAAAGGACCAACAACCATTGCCATTTGCCATTCCACTGCTCCGTCCCATGTTCCCACAAGGAACGCGAACAAACGTTACCTTTGGACTACTGGACATCGCAAATGAAAGAACCACAACAATTTTAAGAAAAAAAAACTTACTAGAGACGTGCGTGCCCCAATGCCGGATACATTGTGCATTGGAGGTAACTGACGTTGGGCGTGTGGGATACATATATTAGATATTTGAGTGCTCGCGGGCCATGTACATGCATGTATGATGGAATACAGTATTGGCTTCGTAAGTATATACTCCTGTAATTAACATGGCTTATTATTTAAAAAAAAAAACAAAAAAAGCCCTAAATCCTAACCCGCATTGAAACAATGGTTAAACCAAGAACAAGTACAAACATGGTGTACAATTAATATTTATAAATGGCTTAAAATAACTCTTTTCCTATTAGGGATAAATGCATTAGATATTTGTCATTTTCAATACACCAGAAAAAAGTTTTTACTGTAACTTCTGCTGTTTGTACCAATACATTAACGTACATCTTTTTTTTTTTTTTTTATTTAACACACGGCATACATAAATTTTTTTAGTCACATATTATATTCGGGTTCCTATAGTAAAAAATTCACCCAACACTATTTCTCCCCTTTCACTCACTTTTTTTCCGGCAACACTTTTAATTCTGTTACGCTGTTATTATTTCTGATCTAAATTAACTAAAAAATGCGAGTACAAGTGCCTGTTTCTTTTTTTTCTGTTTGCAATAATAAAAATTTTGATATGAATAACAATAACAACACAAGAAAAATAGGAACTAGCATATATTATATTATTCACGTCTCTTTAAGAATTGTAAACTCGCTCTTCTTCTTCAATTTGTCAATAATATTCTTAAAAGGTGAGTTTCTCATAAGTTTGGTATAATTCATATATATTTATGTTGTTTTCAAAAAAAACAACAGGCAATGTTTCCCTTCTTCTAATGCTTTAAAAGTAAGGCATCTTTTGTCATAACTTTTGTATTATGTAGAAATGCAAAATGAAAATTAGAATTACTCACAAAAGCATGCTTAAAAAAAAAAGCATGCACATATAATATAAAATATGCTTCATCATACTTGATAGTTTTCGTTTTGTAGAAACTGTAATTTCTATATAAGCATGGTACATATATATTTCCTTATTACACATCACAAAGAGCGTTGTACTTAGAGAAAAAAGGGATCTGTACGACTTTGTATATTTTTTAAATACAAGAATCCATAGCAACATGCTACAGTCGAACAACAAACAAACATCGACAAGCAACGGTGTCTCACAAGGCGCGTCGCAATGCCGAAATGATAAAGCATATTTCGCAGATAATGAAGAAGGTGAAACCGATGGCATAAGGGCGCATAGGTGGCTCTTCTCCAGAAGAGTACCAATCATTTTGTTTTTTGTTGTTGCTTGCATCTGCTTAACGGTAAGCTCACTGCAAGTGAAAGTTTACATGATCACATATAGATGTATGTGGAGAATGGGACGTTTTATGACTGCTTATATATATGCCACAGCATCCTATGCTCTCTTGCATGCATATTCACTGTGTTCCCCTTTTTTGCTTTTATCCGTGGTATTTCTAATATGGCTGTTCTTTTGTTCATTCAACGCATCACCACTTCGCCCTTCTTCTGTCCATAGCATACGGATGACTTCAACACACAAGAACAGCCCTTGGCCAAAGTGCATAACAGAGTCGCGCGCAGTTTAGCAAAGGTAAAATCACTTTCATCAGAAAATGGGCTTGAATTACATCCGATGGCATTCGAACACTATGACGGTGCCTACGACGATGTGGAACAACCTTATGAAGAAGACTATGCATGTTCCCCGAAACGCATATATTCTGACGCACAATGGGAGGATGAGGAAGATGGAACTATACTAAAAGCATGGAAAATGGTGGAGTACCAGGTACCACAACAAGTCCATTATGAAAGAAAGTGGAAAATAGAACATGATGCAAGGGAAAAAAAAGTCCATAAAGGAGACAACTTATCTGCCGCTATGGCAGTCGCCGAGGCAGTTGCAACGTCTAGAACATCCGTGTCGAAGGTTGGATCAGGGTCCTCATTGCCACCATCCCCGCAAAATGCAAAACAAAGTGCAAAAACGAAACAGGAATCTAAAGGACCTTCGGATACAGGTAAAACCGATATGCGCAAACATGGCGACAAAATAAAATTTCCGGGAGTTTGTAATGAAGGTTCTCTTAAAAACGCCTGGTTGGGGACATAGAATGTGCATCGAATCATATTCCACACGCCTAATTGCAGGAAGGAGCGGAAGCACCGGAAGCACTGCAAGCACCGCAAGCATCGGAAGCACAATGAACGGGAGGCAGAATGAAGTCGTTAACATCAAAACCGGAAGAGACTTTAGTAGACGGAAATTGGCTAAATATATTATATATAGGTACAGCAAGTTCTTCGTTGCGGCTATTGTCGTTTACACTATAATAATGGTTGCTATTGGCTGTATGCTGGCGCTTGCATCTGCGGGTCTAATTTCGGTTATCCCTTCTAGTATATTTCATAGTGTAGCTTCAGCTACTTCGAATTTACTTGGTAAAAGCATTTGGTGTGCAGCTGGGATTGCCACGGCCTCCACGGCAGGTGGAATGGGTATACTCAGTATGTCCTCACTTCTGACATTCCGGTGCTGCTACCGAAGGCGAAGGCAAAAGTGCCAAAGAAAGTTGTGAAAGACCAAAATTGCATCAAAACAAGAGCACAAACCCGAGGTACTCCGGATAAATCCAGAGATACCCCGAGAAACCGAAAGCAACTAACAAAGCATAACTTCCTGTATTGCACTTCTGGGTAGGCAACTTCAATGTTACTGTATGCTTGTACATATTTTCTTAGATGGACCCTCATATGATATTGTATACATTTTGTATTATATGGCTTATTTATCCTTTATAGCAGTTAGCTTTATAGTTCCGTTTTCTACATTATAATATGGTTTACATTTTTCCTAATAGAAATGCTCCGTGCATATATAATGCTGCTTGTTTCTGTAATCAGTTGTCTATTGATATTTTGAAAGGGAGCACTATTTGTGCGGAATCCCTCCTTGTGTTTCCTACATAAATACATATATATGTACGCATATATATTCTCATATTTATAATTCATAATCCCTTACATCATAAATGTAACATATATTATATAATGATTATCTGAGCTAATTCATACAGTGCCTATTCATGTAATATGTAACATGTTTTACTTCTTCTTGCTTACGTACTGATGCTTCCTTTCCGGTTCGTATAAACTTCCACATTGCCAAATGAAACGGTTTTACACCTTAGCTTTTGATATGCACACAAATGGAGGATTTTAGTAAATGTAAAGGTCCATATATGCGATGGGTTTCCACGAAAAAATAGCGTGTCCCATTTGCGCAGATAATATATTATATCATCTCTTGCCCACATATGTGCAGTGGGACGCATAATGTGTCATAGGATTCGACCATGACTTTTGTATACATTGACACACACGCTTCTTTTGAAGTGGCCATACTCTTCGGAAAAAAGTTAATCGTACCGTGCCTTCTAAAAAAATGCATTTTCCCCTTTTCTGTTATAATATAACGCACACTTTCTTCCGGTGAACACACTACAGGGAATCATTATGCCCGTGGTGCTCCTTAAAACCCGCGTAAGGGATGTCCGGTTGTTTTTGTATTGGACATTGTAATTATGCGTAGTTAACAATCTGGATCCCACGATCTACTACTGTAGCCGTTATAGTAATTTCTTCGCCGCTTGAAGGTTCGCCCTACAACACACATGGTTCCCGCCACCCGCGCTTGTTTTTCGTTTATCCATAACTTTTGGCCTTTTACCGTGCTTCGGGAATGAAAAGGGACGGGGGCGGGCATGGGAACGGCAATATTTCGGAGTGCCGCACAGTACTTTACATTTTTCTGCTTCGCTGGCAATTAACTAATCATTATGGGTGACGGGAAGCCATAAAGGAAACTGTTGGTTTGCATTTGCAAAGCCTTTCATCCGTCCCTTAGCACATATAATACTATTCCATCGCGAAATCCATTCTCCTAAAACTTAATGCAGTCATATGCACATACTCTAATTCCATCATCGTGCCTTTATGATTTCCGGCATACGGTTGTACGTACTTCCCAGAGTCATTCGTTTTACACACCCTGCGTGTAATTCATTTGGTTCTAAAGAAAAACAAAAAAAAAAAAAAAAAAGAACAGAGAAAGAGCATAAGAGCAGAATTACACGTAACGCTAAAACAACTTGAAGTTCCAAAAAAAAATAAATAAATATGCGTACACATGAAATAAAACAAAATATAATATATAAAGGGAAAAAAAAAAGAAAAGAAGAAATGCCTGGACAACGTTACGCGCGCACAACTTGGAATTTGCCGCAGCCCCGAGAAAAACTTAACAATATGTGTGCAGATGCATTTACGCAGTGCAGGTAGTCCGTGCGCTTGTACTGTCACGAATAAAATGTACCATGAGAAAAGCACACACCACCGATGTAGGAGCATCGCGTATATGTTTTCGTCACCGCGCGGAACATGTATGCCTTTATATTATGCTACAGCGCTGAAAATAATTATTCCGAAAGAACAAATTCTTCCTGTATTCAATTTTGTGCCATATACTTCTAACGAGTTCACTTCTGAAATTGGGAATCATCCCGTGTGAATATGATTCCGCGCTACGTCTCATATGTGTCTGCAAACATGTATTGTACATCCCTGATAATTGTAGGCACCCCTATTTTCATATACCATGACTTCCATTAAAGCGTGAAATATGAAATTGGTTACCCTGCACGAGCACCAGAAAATTTTACGATGAAATATAAATATTACTGAGTAATTCTGTTGGCGCGCATTCCTGTTCCTGCCTTTGCTGGTATGAAGCTATAGCCGCCCTTTCTTGTGTACTTTATTCCGTACGCCAAGTCCCAATATGCGCACACACCGTGGACCTCGGCAGCTGCCAATGAGGTCATAGCTCGTTACCTAGTCTGCTTATTCATTGTCGCCTGCCTGAATACACATTCCCCACACTGCCATAAACAGTTGTTACTGCTTTTCGCATAAGCTTTTAGACTATTGTCCCTCTGTATGCGCCTACTGTATCCGCCCAAGTGCGTGTGTGTCCACTGTGCTTATATTTTGTACCTTCCTTTATATAACTTCCGTCTTCCCATAATCCACACGTGTGACGTGCTCACAGGATGCTATGGCAATGATGTATTCCTTTGCGGTTCCTCCGCATATATAGCACAGTAAACATCCATAAGACCTGACCAAGCCACAGAGAAGAATATATTACACACGGTGAAAAAATCTTGTTGTACAATATAATCCAAACGTAGCGCATATGATACCCCGTAATCACATTTCCCCTGAAACAGAACTCTGCCATTCCTTTATAACTTGCCGCCGCATTTGCCCCGCACGGTGATGTTGCCCACATTTTTTCCCCTCCTACACGGTGCTCGTCGCATAGGCACAGTAAATATGCCCACCGAATACTAACTGCTACTCATAGGATAATATGTCTGCCTCGATGGAAGACGGGTGGTACCTTCTGTGCTTACTCCGAGAAGCGGCACGCATGGTCCAGGGTTTACCACTTAGGTTTCCTAGGTTAGAAGTTCCAGGGTTTCCAGGTTTAGCGTTCGGATTTGCGGGTTTAGAACTCAGGTTTTTTATGTTAGAAGACTTAGGGTTCCCCTCTTAGGGTGCAGTGTGTACCGTTTAAGGTTCAGGTGTTCCTGAGTTCCCTGGTTCAGGATTTAGGTGTTTGCGGGTTTAGGATGCAGAGATGCGTGGGTTACAATATTAGGTCTTGGGTTCAGGGTGTGCTGTAATACATTTAAACTGTACAGTTGCACATTTAGGTTTCAGGACTCATTATATAGGAGTTGAGGTGTCCCGATTTAACATTGAGTGTTTACGTCTTAGGGTTCAGGGCAAAAGAGGTAGGTTGTAAGTAGGGCTTAGGGGGTGTATAGAGAGAGTAAATTTTATTTTCCCTTAGCGGCGATGTGTGTGATGAAGACGCGGATGAGTATGAGTTTGGGCGATCCGTCACCCGTTTATATTCCCCACCGCGTACAAAAGTCAACGAGTCACTTGATGGGTGCAGTGGAAATGTTGCTGTGCAGTTACGAGAAAAGCTTCTATTCTGCGTATTAGCACGCGGCTCTACTGGGCGGACGGGGATTATGCGGACTCTGACGGCACCCTTCCTGGCATGCCGACTGCACCAGTTATAGTCTTTCCATAGCCTGTACTGAAAGGTATATAAAATATTATCCATGAGTAACTCTTGGTTGCATGATGTTTCGCTTGCGTATTCAGTTCCGTGTTTGCTTTCTTCCATTTTGAATGCCACTTTGGCGTTTGAAAAAGCCCGACGGGAGCGAGGTGTGCTTTCCCTTCCCCCACTGGAGTTACTATTCACCACGATGAGCCCCGTTTTCTTGACCACGGTGTCTTCCGTGGATGCAGATTATTAACACATATACATGCCCATGGGTTCAATGATGTGTGGTCCCACATTTTGATAAGAACAAGACGAAGAGGTACAAAAGACGGATGGTTTTCTCAGTACAAGTGGAGTGCTGACAGGATGCTGCATTTGAGCCCATCGTCATTCACGACTCTGTTCGTACGAGTGAGATAGTAGCGTCTTGTTAACCTCCTATGGATGTTTTTGATTGAAACATTTATTTGGTTGCTGCGTCGGTCTGGGACGTCCGCTGCCCCAGTGCCACTTGTTGAGCCGCGAATTGATGGCGTCGGCCTCGCCACAGGTGTACTCTCCTTTTTTTTTTTTACTCATACGGACCCCTTTCACGCGACTACCATCTGCATCCCTGCCCCTGGACAGTGCCTGTTTTATTGTGTCCAGGAGCAACTTCATGGTTCAGGCAACAACGGGGTGGTGGTGGTGCTGCTGTGCTCGTGCGGGTTGTGGTCATAAATGAGCCTCTAACCAAATAACGAGGACAAAAAAAAGGGGGGGACATTACCAACAAAGAAAACGGAAGTTTTGAACCCATGCGCACAAAAATGGGGTAAGTTCTATGACGGACAAGCCTTGCCCATTTCTGGTGAAGACTCGCTGGTATCGTTTCGCCTCTGTCAGACGAACAGGGTTGTCATCTAATGACTGCCACCTTTGAATGAAGACAGGCGTGGACATCAGCAACACGGAAACTAAACTGCAATTACCACGAACTGCGAAAACACCGGCCGTTCCATCACCAGAGCTGTACGTACATTGATTGACCGGAAAGAAAGAGAGTAATTTGGGAGACGCACCGATGAATGAAAAAGGAAAGGTGATTCTCCATGGGTTCATGTGTTCAGATATTTTTTGTAGTTTGTATGGTTAGTCTTTTTTGCGTTTATTTTTGTTTATTTTTCTTTATTCCCTCCTGCACGTGGGACACAAGAACAGGGCGTTCCGTGGAATCGGGGTCAGGCGACATGGACACGCTGTTCCCATTTTGTAAAAACAGAGAAAGCGCATGACGAGCGGTTCACGGACGGGATGACGAGCGCTTGAGCGCTTGCAGTAGAAAGACAATGGATTGCGTTTCATGCTTGCGCGTTGTGGGAACTATACCTCTGTAGCTTCCATTCCGCGCGGGCACCCTCCCTTGGGATGCAGGCGCTGCTACACACACAACAGAGCTCATTAACAGGTGGCCATGGATGGGCCTTGCATGAATGCCCTGTACCAAATGCAGGCAGGTGCAGAAGTGAAGGGACACACAAAAAGTGAACGTACCCGCTTTGGGGAAAATACATCAAATGAACGCTACATGGCGCGCGGGAGGCTTTGACGGGGTAGCGTCGCCTGGGTGGACCTACTGCTGTTACGCGCAAAGGACGCCACTCATGTTACCATACACTTGTGAAAGTCTTACATGCGCTGGGGGTAGGGAAAAAAAAAAAAACCAAAAAAAAATACGAGGACTAATTCGTCACTTAAAAATTGTCGCTTTCGTTTTCCTTCCCACGTGTCACTGGGGACGCTTTGCAAAGGTAATGTGTCATTTCACCGTTTGTTCAATATCTGCGTTTTTTTTTTTTTTTTTTTTTTTCCCTTTGTTGTACCTCTCACTGCATGCGTCTTTTTTACACTTTTTTTTTTTATTCTTGTTTGCACTTGTTCCGATGTGAAACCCCAGTTGCTGTTCGCGCAGGGTTGTCCACTTATAACGCCCACCTAGGTGTAAACTGCGGCGGGTGGGGACAATAATTGAAGTCCAAATTGAAGTTAAAATCAACGTTAGCATCAACGTTAACGCTGCCATAAAATGAGCGTACTGCACTGAGTTCACTGCGGCGATTACGCAGAAACGTTGAAACCAAGACAACACCCCATGCCACGGCAGCAAATGTGAAGCGATTTTTTTTTTTTTTTATATTTTATTTTTTTTGTTTTTTTTTTTTGCTTCCTTTCAATTGTATTTGTTCTCAGTAACCCGTCGCAGTGGGCGCGTCTCATTCGTCGCGTTGCATTTTTTTTTGTTCGCATTGTCCTTGTACCATTTGTCAAATTCCCGCCGCGTGAGCTGTATCAGTTGCAGCGAGTGCGATCATAACACACACGCATGTGTGCTGCGCCCAATTGTTCCACCTCTGCGGGCGCAAACCGAGCAGTCTAACTTGTTCACGCATTTACAGTAGGACAGTGACATTCATTTTGTTTTTTTGTTCCCCCACGAATTATTTCCTGCGCAACGCCGTCCCATAGGTATGCATTTAATGGTGCATCTTCTTGCGGCAGCAGTAATTCTGTGAGCTTGCAACGAGTTGCAGGCTGAGAGCAGCTTTGCCCGAACGTGCGTTCCCCCGAGTGACGACACAATGAGTAACCTGGAGAGACTAAAACAACGGTTGCAAGAGTCGTTAGAGAAACACAAAAATAGGTTATTAAGGACACGTTATAAAAAGGCAAATGGGTTGACGGAGGGTAAGAGCACAAAGAGTACCAGTTACACAACGGAAGAACCCAAAAAAAGTGACACAACGAAGAATGATATGGCAAACTCGGGAAGTACAAAGAGAGCAACAATAGGAAGAGATAAGAATCCTAGCATATATGATGGGCATAATTTAAAAGGCAGATTGAACGCAAGGTTAGGGAGTGGACAGGTTCCTCAGGTGAGAGGGGAAAAGGAAAGCAACACACTGCACAGTCGTCCTTTGAAGGACAGGCTTAATTGTAAAGCGAACTTATCAACGGGTGTGATACGAGCGAGTACCGGCACTTGCTTCCGTGAGGGCAACACAAACAGAGATGTAGCAAAGGGGGTGATTCCAGATCATAGAGCAGCTAAGCACGCTGTGGACGTGGAAGACACGATACAGCAACACAACCGGGAGCACGGAAATTTCGATGGAGTCTCCAACGAAATCAGAGATAACCTAAACGACTTGTTCAGACATTTTGTCAACTGCAAAATTAATAACCTATATGTTATTCATGGGGACCGCGGGAAGCTTCCTAGGGCGGAGTTGGCAGATGAGGGTCCAGGGGTCATGATGATTCCAGAGGTTGCGGCAACAGAACAGGTACAGGAGGGACTCACTGGAGAGTTGCTTGGTGAAAAGCAAGAACTGCATCTTGCCTTCCCCGACGCTGATGAAGTGCGATGTGACAACCATACGAGGGCGGCAGAGCAGGAAGGACTACACAGCCGTGTGTGTCATGTCCAGGATGTCCAAAGCCATGTCCACGATGAAGGTGGTACTAATGGAGTCAGTGGAGACGAAGACACACGCAAGGAAACAAAACTGATAGGAGGGAACGTCGCAAGGGAGGACACAAGTTCAGGCATTATGGCGGATGGGACAGTAACCCGATCAAGCGAATTGGTGGGAGCAGGCGTCGGAAGTGGAAGGTACAATAGCACTTTTGTCAAGCTAATGGAAATAAAGAAAAAAATAAAAAATAAAATAAAAAATTTCGAGGATGAGGACAAGAGAATGTTCTGCACGGACGAAAGGACTCTGTGCAATTCGGACTCGTCCAATGAGCAGAGGAGCCTACCAGTTAGGGATGTCTCTACCTTCACGGATGGTAACGTTGCTTCCTCTGCAAAGGGGTTTAACCATTGGGGGGTCGTACACGTGGACTCTTCTGTGGCTTCCTGTGCCAGCAGCAACCATGCAGTTTCTTCTAAGGGGGACAGCATAGAGTTGTTCACGACACAAAAAAATATTTTCGTTTGCAATTACTACACGAAGAAGTCAGGCAGGACGAAAGGTAGGCACAGGGACAGGAGACACGCGGGGATCCACGTGCTGAGTGATGCGGCAAATTTTTTGGGCAGCGCATTTTCCCTGGCTAGCCACTCCACTGCGACGTGCGATGTGGGGTGGGGCGAGTTGGAGCAGAATCAATCAGGGAAGTGTCAATCGAACAAGTATGAGACTCACTTCAATCCACAACAATCGAACGCAGCCCGCACCTATCTGCACGAGAATAAGGGGGCAGCACTGAGGAGAAGCAGCACACAAGGCCGAAAGGTACTGAAGCGAACAGGAAGCCCCGTGAACATGATTCCGGATCAATGGAAAGAACGGCCACCACGAAGCAGAGATAAGCACGGAAACACAAAGTATGAATTTAGTTCGTGTCCATCGAGTTCATGTTCCTACCAGAGCAACTGTTTATATCCCTCCAGAGGGAACGGATTCAAATGTTCGAAGGGTCAGGTTAGGAGAGGTATCAGCAAACACATGGAAAAACAAGCCAATGGAGGATGGAGCCTTGCACGGGAAACGCATGCCACGTGGGACACCCCAGACAGGGGCACAGAACCTCATTACACAAGTGTGATTAGATCCCTCGGTCGTAAACAAAGTGCAACCTGCATGCAGGATAGAAGCAAATATGAAATGAAGAATGCCATGCAGTGTGAAATCAACATGTGCAATGAACGTTCTGGTGAATGCAAGGACGAAGCGAACCGATTCGCTATGTGGGGTAGGCCCACTGAGGAACAAGTACCTTGGACAGACGCAAACGTGCAGGCCACGTCACCTGTTCAGTGGAAACAATGCAGTGGCGACTTTAGCCTTGAGACTGGCGAGCACTGCTTCGTTGAACTCAATCGTCAGCGCAGCCGCCTGGGTGATGATCCCCGTGCAAGAGCACCTCTGAAAGTAAACAGGACGAATCACAGTGCAACTCCCCCCCAGTTAAGTCCAAGTGCTCACCAGTCCTGTGAGAAACAAGCCAAATGCTACATATGCTCATTCCCTATCCGCAACAGTGAGGAGAAATTCATTTTAAAAAAAAAAAAAAAGGACTACCACGTGGTGCGGATGGAGCAGGAGGATACATCATACAAGCAAAATGAATGCACACCGAAAAATTGTTTTAGCAAAACCGATTCGTTGTACCCTAGACACAGATGTTCAGTGAGTAGTCTGGTCCCAGAGGAGCATATCCATAGGGGGATGCTCCCAGGAGACATGCTTGCTCATAAGGAAAGCACACACCATGAGAAGCACAAATTCCTCTCCAGACAAAGCATCCATGCAGGTTCTGCAACGTGCTCATATATGCTCGATCAGCAGGGGGAAGCAAAACAAATGGAGACTCCCGCAGGGCACATAGACATTAAACACAAGGGTGTGCAGGTCCACCCCGGTCAACATAACGGACATGGGCATCGTACTAATTTGAGATACCACTCAGTGAAGGAACAGGAGAAGGAACATGAACCGGATGAGCCCTCGTTCGTCATGCACTCGAATGAACCCACATATGGATGCAAGTTGCAGGGTGAGGCAAGTCATAAAAGGGAGGAAGCTATTTGGGATGGGGGGCCAGGCGGCTTCCCATTACAAACAAGTGTCCAAGAGGAAGGCCTGCAACGAAATACTCCCATATGTGCAGTGAAGAGGCACGATGGATTGAACAACGCAAGGAGAATCAATCAGTGGAGTCACAATCCCCTGAGGGTTCCCCCACATGAAAGGAGCTGTTCCAGACAAGAGCCTTCCCCTGCAAGGGTAGCAACCCCTCGTGATATGGACCACGTAAGCGACGCATACAACACGTGGGTATATAAAGAAAGGGTATCTGCGTCCGCCGCACCGGATATGGTTAGTATAGAGAGTGTCGTCGTGAATGGAAGTACACGAGCGAAGAAACCCAAGACTCTCTTCTGGAAGATAAGCGAGGGGGACACGTTCACTATTCCCGTCGAGGAAGACTCCGGGAAGATCCTCCAGTTGAGGGGTCTTCTCGACGAGGGGCCAGCAAAAGAGCACCAGGGATTTGGAACAGAGGGCGGTACAAACAGAAGGCGCGTTGCGTCCAACGGTGCCATTTTAAAAAAAGTCCTGAGAATGAAAATGGAGGCCATGAGAAAGGAACAGGGACACATGGAGCCAAGGAACGTCACGCCACCGGTGGGCCCCACCAAGGTTGAACATAACGCACATAATGTATCACATGAAGACAGGAACCGACTTAGCAAATATGAGAAGGGCGGGACACATACACATGGGGAGGCGACACGGATGCACAGTGGGCATGGTGAAGCATGGGTGCGCGACAAATTGTCTGGACGTATGGGGGGAGCAGATGGTTGTGGGGGGTCCACTGGCAGCAGGGAAACGCTCAGTAGAGGTACTCTGAATGGAGGTACGCGCAATGGTGACCGTCCAATTAGGCTTCCCCCCTGCAGTCGCGTGGAGAGAGAACCCCCTCGTGAGATGACACCCCGTGTCGGCAGTATGCACGTGGAGGCCTCCCCCGTTCCGAGCGCATCAACCCTGGAAAGGATTCCTTCCTCGGTGAACACTCTCAAAATGTACTCCCTGAGCAGCGGGCTGACCAGAAATGCACCCGTCACACTGAAACGCGTGGGCACGGTGGGCCCAGACGACGATGAGGACAAAAAAGGTGAAGATATTATGGAGGTGCAACGTTTTAACGAGTCCTACTACTGCAACATGAAACGAATCAAGGGTGACGACGTATACCCGAATTCAGAGGAACCAATTAGCACATCCCAGAAGAGGAGGTTAATGAAGGCATATCTTGAGGATCTGAGGAAGAAGAAGCAAAACAAACAGTTGTTCAATTATAAGCTAAAATATAACATTGAATTCTTTAAGTTCGCTCAGTTTATATGTCAGGACAAGAATTTCTGCAGCAACTATTTGGGACAGATGGGCAGCAACATGGTTTCCAATGGGGACGACATCGACCGAATCGCCTTTTCCATTGTGAAACTGTTTAATGCGCGCTGAAAGGGAAGAGGGCGCGATCTTCGTTTGTGTTTACCTGTTTGGGGCATGTGACCCCTGTGTCTGCTACATTTGTTTGGCACGCTCGCCAGTTTGCATACTTCTTTGCTTGGCAATAGGTCCCCTTTTTAACGAGACGGGCCAGGCGAAAAAAAAAAAACAAAAACAAAAACAACTGTTTTCACTGCCCTACACGCGACTTCAAAATTTGATACCGAAGTGTTCATCGAACAAGCAGTGGTGTCTTTTGCACATTTCTGCGCACTGCATGGGGGAATGAGGCGTACAGTGGCTCCACAGTAAGGTAACAGTACACACATATAAAACCCTCGCCACACAGTGCTATTATGCCGTCGTTGAGGATGAACCACCGCGTTCATGTCCAATCGCATGTACCCCCTCCATATACGTACGCACACTACATGTGGTGGCCGGAAAAGTCGAACCAAAGAGACTTAACCAGGTGTCAATACCACCTGTGGGGAAGTGAATTTTTTTCGAACAAAAGACCAACACAAAAGGTCCGTAGAAAACAGTTAACAACCACATAGTACTTCGTAGCACACATGTACCCGTGTGGATGTTCGGGGGTAGTTTCAATTCGGAGCAGAGTATTCAAACGGGGAAAAAAATGCAAAACAAAATGACAAAGTAACAATTCGATTACAAAATGGGGAAGCTAAGCATCCCTAATGTGGCTTCCACAAACAGGCGTCATGATGAGGAATAACAAGAAGAAACAAAAAACAAAAAGCACTTCCTGCCACACAACTTGGTGTGGCTTGGACCATTCGAACAAGTCCGTGCCGCCACGAACATCCTGCCCCCTTTTTGGTTGTTGAAAATTCATAACTCCTCGTCCCACTGCAGTATCGGTTGTGGCTTCGGAATAATGGTGAAGGGCTTATGTGGAGGGGGGAACAGTTTGTTCAGGGCAACAAAGCGATCAGAGTCGCAGCATCGGACGGGCAGCATCGGCTCGAAGTACCCCATTTCACTCCAAATCCTCATCTCGTCAAGGAAAAAGGGTCCCTGCAGAAAGCGTATGTGTGGAACGGAGATCATTACGAATGAGTCGAAGAAGAGACAACCGTTCTGCATAGGTGGGGTAGAACCACATGCAGGATCGACTTTAAAGCGTTGCTGATCATGTGTTCCACCAATGGATGGCGCTCACATCGCGCGAAGTACGCGTGGGTGGAGTCTCTCTTCTCAGTACCTGCACTACGCCCTTGGGGTCCACGTACTGCCAACACTTATCTCGCAAGGCATCTGGACGTTTGGTTTCCTCCATCTCCAAAAGGTTGTACGTTGCGTTCTTCTTTTCACCTGAACTGTTCATACTTTTATTGGTGCTACTCGTTTTGTATATGCTGGGAATCTTGCACACCATTTGCGCCGGTTGCGCGGGTTGCGCTGTGGGGAGGACATGTGACGGATGCGCAGCGTTGGGGTGCATCATCGAGTGGTGGTCTTCGCTCTTGTTTCTTTCGTTTGACATATAGTTCAGGTGAATGTCCCCACGTCCCGCTGTCCTTTGGTCATTCAAGGCGCCTCCTATTGCTCTAGCTGCACCAGCTGCGGTCCCAACTGCGACTCCCCCGTTCGTCTGGTCGCTTCCTTTCGGGGACACGTCTTCTTTCGAATTGATCCTAAGCCCGCTAGGGTACATATTGGCGCTCTTCACAAAAGAGTTGTAATCGCTAAAGTGCATGTACTCTTTTGGGGGGGCATACTGTTGATGTTGTTTGCTTGTATGCGTGTCCTGCTTCATTGGCTCCCTCATTGGGGTCATTACCATGTCGATTTGTGTTTTTACTCGGTCACAATGATTTAGCGCCTTCGCTTCGTGTTTCGCTTGACTCGTGAAAGTACTTTGATCCGCTTGGGCATTTTGGTAATAATAATTTAGGTGGTCTGGCGAGGGACTGGTGGTGGCCATCTGCTGGTGCTGCCCTTGGTGCGAGTGATGATGTTGCTCCTTGGCACCAGCGTGCATCATGCTTTTTATCCTGTGTGTTATGTCCTGCTCTTGGGCGGTATACTTGCCCCCCTGCGGAGTGCTGCTCTGGTTGGCTTTACGCAGCATGGAGTTGGCGTCCAGGTGGTCGTCCCTTCCTTGGGCACCAGCCCTCAGACTGCTGAGTAGGCCGCTTTGTATTCCGCTTTGCACGCCACCCTGCATCTCCAATTGCTTTTTCTTTCTCAAAAGTTCCAGCAGGCTGTACTTGCCTGACATGTCCTTAATACTATCGCGGTCTTGCGCACCGTCCTCCTTGCTCGACTTGTTCATCAGTGACTTGTTGATTCTGTTGAGGAGGGGCGATGTGCACGCTCCGTTGATGTTGCGATTGGTGAGATCGTTGTGACTGGTGTGTCCGTCGAGGGAAAGCCCATCGCGGGGAAACACTTCGAGACTTTGAGCGCCTCTACTGTACATGCTGCCCCTACTAATAGCCTCGTACCCGCCTGCTCTTCCCACTGGGTTGTTCTTCTTATCCTCCTGCTCTTCCGCATAGGTGATATCAAGTGAAGAAGTTACTCCTGGCTCATTATTCCCGCCACTCCTCTTGAGGAACATTTTGGCCTGCTCGTCTTTATTATGTCCTCCAATTGTATTTAAAAAATAATTTCTTTGGTACTCCGAGAGACTTATTTTGTTCTGATTCAGATTTTGTTGGTTGTAGTTGCCATCAGTTCGTCTGCCTGGATCGCTCAATTTTTGCATGAGTAACTTGTGTTGCATTTCCATAGGGGGTGGGCCAGTCTTCCTCATGATATTGGAGTAACTGGCCGGGTAGCCTCCCAGATAGCTTCCTCCTGCGTAATCGCTGGTAAAGCCACTGGTGTATTCCGCTGCGCTGTTGAGAGGCATAGTAGACGATTGCCCTTGTTCCCCCTTACCATCGACGATGCCGAGATGTTGACCGGAAGTCGTGAGAGATGGAGAAGCGGACACAGGCAGGTCCTTCTTCTTTTTCTTCTCCTCCTCCTCATGTTGCCCATTGGTTGTGACATACCTGTGGACAATTTTGTCAATGTTACAAATGAATTGCACAATGGCCTCCTTGTCCGCGTGGTCTCGCATCATTTTTTCCTTCTTCTGTTGGTACAGGTTGTCATGCTGCTTAAGAATAACAGTAAACTGTTGGATCAGACTTTCGTATTTTTTCCTATTCTTCTCAAGCGTTTCTTTCACCAAATCGTTAGCATAATCTAGCAGCATTTTCATTTCCTTTACCTTTGCGACGATCTTTTTATCCTTGGCCATGAGTTCCTTGGCGTGCGTTCCTCCACTCCCAGTCGAGTCATACGCCTGAATTTTGTGCATGATCCAATACAATTTTAACTGAATGAGTTGTACATTCAGAGAGTGGTAACATTTCAGCAGTTCACACAGGTCTAAGTTAGATAGGTGTGATTTTATATTTGCAGGAATGGAATTTTCCCTTCCTGTGGATGGTACCATCTGCTTCTTCTTCATCATTATCATCAACCTGTTGTTGTCATTCTGTTGCTCTTCCTTCTGTTTCATTCTCATAATCATTGCGGTTGCCAAATCCTTTTTGTGAATTTCTTTTGCACGCTGGGGGTAAAAAACACTGCTACTACTGTTACTGCTGCTGCTAATTCCACAGTGGGTATTATTTCCTTCGTCCCTCCCGATATGTTCATTCGATGAGGTCATAGGTATGTCTTCTATGTGTTCCCTTTTGAAGCCCATTTGATATTGTTCTTCAATGAGGTTTCTTCGTGGAGGTGGTGCAGACGGGTCAAGATTCTGTGTACTGCTAAGGGTATGTCCACTTGAGGCATTCAACATGGGGTCGGAAATACTATTACTGGTGTGTTGGTTTTTTCCCACAATATTAACCGTTGCGTGAGGTAACACCCTCTTGAATAATCTTAGTAAATCTTCATTTGATTTTTTAGCCTCAGGGGGATTACGAATGGTTGGTCTAGTTTGTTCATTTGCTTCATTACTGGGGTTCACTTGGATGGAGGACGCATCGTTAATGGGTCCTTCACTGCTATCCCTCCTCTCAGGCAATGTAGAAGAGTAAAACGATTTTCCTTGCTGATTTGACATGTACAACAGATGGCTGCTTTGGTGTGCACTTCCTTTAGTAACATCATTGTAACTCTGCTGTTGTAATGCGTTGAAGTACATGTCGCCATTTAGGTTCTTGCCACTTGGTGCTGGTCCGTCTGCTCCTTGGGGATGGTGGCTGCTTCCCTGCATAATCCTTTGCTTTACTACAGACAGTTGATTAAACAGGGGGAAGGAGGAATTACCACTCTGCATGGGTACTCCATTTGGGAGGGGATTAATATGGGGCTGATACAATGAAGAGGACTCTGCGATATTTTTATTTGCGCCGCTTTTAGGGGGGCCATTCATGTCACTATGAAGCGTGTCGTTCTTCCTCTGATGATGGGTGTTACTTCCGTCCTTATCATGACCTACCATGGGGAGACCATTACTGTTACGTGAGGGGCTATCCTGCGTGTCAACAACATTCTGTGCGCCCGTGCCGCTTAGGACCACTGGTGCAGCACGTGCAGTGGTTTCATCACGCTCATTCGTGCCTCCATCACTGATGCCTCGATCGTTGGGCGGTGCGAGCTCCTGTGGGACCCGATCCTGCTTGCCTGACACATCAGCCTTGTACTTCATAATTTTGGACAGGAAGCTCGTGATTTTGTTTGTGCTTTGGGGTTCGCTTTTGGCGTTCTCGGGGGGGGGCACCACCTGCGTTGTCGTTGTAGTGGCGGCTGTGCTTGCAACCGGCTGCATAACTACCTTATCCTTGCCCGCCGGCGCGCTCTCACCAACGACGCCATTTTCATTACCTGCACCCGAGGCATCACTTTTCTTTTTTTTATTTATCTTTTCCTTTTTTCTTTTCTTATCCTGATCTGGCTCCTTCTCATTGTTGGGGCTAGCCTCCGCCAACAGTTTGTCCTGCTCGTTACCTTTACCCATATCCATCTGCGCTCCTTCCGTTGGTTCCCCTTTCTTGGTCTGCCTTTCTGGTTCGTTCCAGTCTCCGGGGGGGCCACCATTAACGGCAAAACTGTTTGGGGGGAATGCATGTGGAGGTATCCCCACCTGGACATTACTTCTGCCCATGTGGTAGAGTAGGCTTGTTCCATCTTGCACGTTCTGACTTGGGTGGGCATTGGCCCAGCTGTTGACCGCGACCTGTTTTGTGGTGACGCTACTTTTGCTCGCATCGCTCTGGAGCTTCACGGTGTTGTCCTTCTCCTTTTCCTTTTTCTTCTTTTTCTGTTTCTTTTTATCATCTGTCGCTGGAGCATCTGCGCCGTTGGCACTATCTGGGGAGGGAATGCCTTGGGCGCAGTAGTCCTCTTTCGGTCCTTCTACCATGCCACCTACAACGTTGTCTCTCCTGAGAAGACTATCACCAGTGCTACCATTGACGGCGCACACCTCGACGTTCTTCTTTTCCATGTTGGGGGTGACTCCCTGGTCGTGCTTCTCCTCGGGTACCTTCCCTAAGCTGACATTGCCGAGGCTCCCTATGCTGGCCATACTTCCAACGTTACTGACGCTGCTCGCGCCGCTAATGCCGGCAGTGCCAGTGGGGGGGACCACCAAACCTACTGCAGCCGCTGATGCTGCTGATACTGATGATGGTGCGCATGGCGCCGCTACTGCCGTGCCGGAGGCGGTTTTATTTCTCCAGTCTACATCCCAGTCGTAAGCATTACCGCCCTTCTCCGGCTTCTTCTTTCTGCCTAGCGTCGCGGCCGCCGCTTGCGCATTATTGGGGGAAGGAACTGGCGGGGCCACCACGGCCTTTCCCATTTTGGCCTTGTCCTTGTCGCCTGCTTCGGCTCCCCCTTTGGTTTTCTTGAAGGTGGCTTCGTCCATTGCGTCAGAGGCGTTTCCGCTACTAATGTTGTTGACGCTGATGGGAGCAGCACCGGGGGGGCTAATTAGTCCGCTCAGTACACTTCCTCCGATGGCGTTCCCTGCACCACTCCCAACTGCTGCATCCACATTCATATACTTAATCTTGTAGACGCTGCGCTTGTTGTCCTTCAGGTTGGCCTGTGGTTTGGGTGGCTCGGAGAGGACCCCAGGAGGAGCCTTCTTCCACTGGACGTCATACAGCTCGTTAAAATTGTAGCTATTAACAAGTTTTCCCTCATATGTATATATTTTAAAAGTATTTTCGACCTTCATCCTAGGGTAAGTGGAAGCCGTCATGAAGAGGGTACCATCTGCAGACCAATCACACAGCACAGTACATGGTTCCCTATATTGCTTTATTAGAATGACCGAGTCATCTTTCTCTTTAAAGTAAAAACATATATCACCTGCTAAATTACCGAACCCCCCAAGAGCAATCATGTTACCAAAGGGGCACCACTTAATGGTGTTTTTGTACTGGGACGATATTTTGAGTTTTATATTTAAATTATGGTCATACAGAAAAATGGAATTATCTGATTTGCCTTCAATTAGGAGAAAGTCATCACTGGTTTGATTCCACTTAACATCCTGTGCGACTTGTTCGTTAATCTTTTTCATGCCCATATGTCTGGCGCTGAGGGAGAAGTAGTAGCAGTTGCTTACATACCCATATGACTTGTTGGTCGTATCGTTTGTGTATACCATAAGGATAACATGCTTGCCGCTGAGTGACCACATGCAATACAGATTATCCAAGTTACCAAAACTTTTTTGTATGAGCAGATCCAAAGAGACATTTTTTTCGGGGGGACTTTTCTTCTTTCCCGAATGGACCCCATCTACGTGGTTCAGCGAACAAGACGACAAGCCCTGTATCTTATACACATACACATCTCCAAGGAAATTATTCTTCGTGTGAACAATGAAGAATCTTGCGTCGTCCTCTCCAACATAGGGGGACATATACATGGCTATGACATTTGGGTGATGCCACGTGAAAAGGTAATTCGTTGGGATATCTGTATTTACGAAATTGTGGAGGACCTCTGTGTTGGTTTGTATCAACTGGTGTGTGTCATATACATAGAGGTTCGATTTCTTCTCCAGAAAAAAATATCTGTCCTCAGTGGTGAAGTGAATGATGGGCCAGTTGCTACAAATTTTTTTTCTAATCTTGAAGGAGCAAAGGACTTTGTTATGCTGTACACTGAATAGGAGTAGGTTTCCTATGGAGACAAAATTTTTCTCTTCAAAGGGGAAGAAGAACACAACAAATTTATTGGCTGGTGACCACTGCACATGTTTGATTAATTTTACATTGTCGTCCGTGAAGAGTTCTTTGTACCTATTGTGGCAGGTTATTTTATTTACCCTTATGTTATCTCTGTCGGAATAATTTGATATGAGGAGTAAGCCTTCCACGGAGTGCAGGATGAGAAAGGAGTTCCCATCGCACGACCAGATCGCGTCGGGTATGCACCCGTCGTACTCGAATGTTACTTTTCCCGTGTACTCATTGTTCTCGTTTCGCTCGAAGGTGTAGAGCTTGATGCCGCTCTTGGACCTTATCAACAGCTCGTTCATCTTGCTATATCGGTGCGGCTTCGGCGTGGCTTCTGCGTGATTTCTACGTAGCTTCTGGGGGATGGCCTTCAGGGTGGCCAACTTAAGCGCTCACTTGCGCGGTCTCTTCCTCGGCTAACCGCGCGACGCCAACGAAGTGTGCTGTTCCGGGGAGATCGCTCTGTGACGAACGATTAGGCGTGCCCACGCACAGGTGTTGTTCCCTATATGCGTGTACACGTCCCTAATGGTAAAACGACGCCACGGCAAAACATAACATGTGAAGAGCTACCTCCCAGTGTGGGCTTCTCCCTTTTTTGTTCCTTTACGTTTGCTTCTGTTCCCCCCCGTGGAGCAATTTTCCTAGTGCCTTGAAAGGGGGGTCTAAACCAGCTCGTACGTTTCAGGTTGGAGAGGCCGGGGGGGACGGTTCAGAATTATGGCCGATAATTTTCTGAGGTATCTGAGGTGATATTTCCTATGGGGGAGGGTTATTTTTTTGTCCAAGGGTAGATACTCGTGGGGGCAGTGGTGAGCAGTTCAGAGTGCGCAATATGTGATATGTAGAAAACCACGTACCGCTTGAGAACTGCCGCCACGACACAGGTAATGTTAAAGGTCAGTTGCTTGCGCATCGCGAGGTGAACAAATCATGTGCTAACATTTTTTCTGTTCACATGCATTTTGAGGTGCAGGTCTGGCTGCGCAAGGCGGTTGTCATGTATTCGTGCGACGCAGAGGAATAATCATACAAAGTGGAAGTGGTGGTGGGGAGCAGCGTCGCATATTCGCACGCTCCCAGCATACTGGAGTACAAATGTATGTGCTCCCAAACGTACTTGCGTAAAGAAGCATGCGTGAAATCATGCGTCACAGCATGCGCGACGCATGCCTGATTTAGAGGCGCATGCTCTCGCTCAGCCGCTGTCACTGCATTGCGAGGGACTTTTTGCCTCCCACTACGCGTCACCGCGACATTTGGTTGGTACGTGGGATCCTTAGCGTGACGCTGTGTAGGATGATCCACGTAGTAACCCGCGCATACGCGTATGCATATACATCCGCTTACGCGATTAGCATGCCTTTTTTGCTACCAATCACACGCTCGTGCACCCGCATATGGTATACACGTGCTGTGGCGCAAAGCAAATGTTAATATAAGTACCAAACGAAGAAAACTTGACAAGAAGAAAAAAAATCAATTTGCATCAAAAAGATTTTCCAGTTCATCAACGGAAAAAACATATATTACCCATATGTAAGTAAAACGCAGCAATTACATGCATACGAAAAGGGAAACAAAAAAAAAAAAAAAAAAAAAATTTATGACCTGACCAGTT